TCTCGGACCTGGACTTCGAAAAAGAGAAAGTTATCTGATAAATCAAGTTTGGGAGCGTCCAAGTCCGACTCATACATCACCGAAAAAAAGCAGACGATCCACCCCAATCCCTAAGTTAAACTCTGACCTCCTGCCTTTCTGAACGCTTGCTTCCCTCTCTATGTGCTGCAATAACCAATCTACCACATTGAATATATGACCCCCAGAAAATGGCTTGATTTATGCCTATGCATGCTTTTTTCTTAATGTTGTTTGTGAGTTCTTTTTTGTGAGTTCTTTTAATGCAAAGCCCTGCGCCGGCAGCCTCTTGAGTGCAGCTTCCTGTAGCTGCTTCTCCTGGGTTAGGGGCCCTATGGATGCAACATGATGCAACTACCTACCTTCTGCGGAAGTCTCATGGTTGAGGGGATTAAGTGCCTTACCAAAAAGTCATTTCTTTTTTGCCAGCCAAATCGAGTTGGGTATGGCTTACACTTTATACTTTTTTTTTTGGACAACAGATTTATGCTGATCCATACCCAGTTTGGGTTTGCTTGAACCTTAAAAGAAAGAACATCAGAACATTCCCTGCTTGATTTCTTGCTTACCCTTTGGTAATCAAACATGGGCTGGAAAACCCCTCATTCGATGGCTTTTCCAACGAAAAACCTCCATTTAGGGGGATTTTCCGGCCGGAGGGAGTATATCCCTGGATATGGCGGGCCTCCTCTTCAGCCCCTGGATCTGGCAAATCGGCCACCTCGGTCGCGGCCTCCGGCGACCTGAAGTATTCAGCTAAGTGAGCTGCGAAAAATGGTGGATTTAGGCGACCTGAACTACCTATCACTACCAACATGTGAAAAAAATATGTTAAAAATAGGAAATTTATCTGGATTTATCCAATAAAACTATGAAACATTTGAGAATTCCGGTGGATTTGGGGATGTATCCAGAAATGTCAGAACACCACTACGATCCAGCTTAAATACGTGGAGATATGAGATATATTGGGAATTAATATAAACAACAATATGATGTACGGGGATTTAGAAATTTGTACCAAGAAACTGATGGAAATGTAGTTGTTTTTCCAATAAGACTAGAGTTAAGGCATTTGGATGGATTTGGGGATTAGATGTTGCCACAATTAGCTAGGTGGTTCGTGAGTGGGTGACTGAACCCTAAAAAAGGGACAATATAGGATTATCACATACATCGGGAGATGCACCACAAAAATATGTAACTATGAATCGCCCATTCTGGCAACATCTAAAATATTAAATATATATGTAAGTCAGAAAATGTTGGCAATTTAAGGGCTCTATATCATGATACATCTCAAAAACACTTGGAACAGAACATCTTTTCATGGACCCAGAGAAGTTGGGAACGTTCACCAGCAATGCTGAGTTTCACGTCACATTCTTCATTAAGACGCCATGACACCTAAACACAGAATTCCTGAGAAAGCCCACTGAGACCAAAAGAAGGCCATGTTTTTTTCACTCGAGGCGCGCGAGTCCTGCAATCAGCATACGATACTTGGCCCATAAAAACCTGGTCCATGTTCATCCCTAATCCTGGGATTTCAATCTTTTGTCTATTCATCTTAAGGATTACCAAAAAATATAAGATATTCCCAGACATGGATCCATAAAAGCTTGCGAATCCGACTATCCCTCCCCCCCCAAAAAAAGGTAAACCACAACAATACACAACAATCAACATACAAATGGGATCAAAATGATATCAAATGGGCAAAATCTTCCCAGACATGGATGTGTACAACAAATATGTAGTCTATTACTCCGAAACGTTGGTACTTTACCTTACCTACAGTATATTCTACTTGTGTCTAATTGTCTATATATGGGTGTTTGGTGGGTTGTATAGTATATATATATACAACACTTGGTATGTGACTATCAACTGGTTCTCACAACCAAGCAAATCGTGGTTCTTATATATAACTCGTTTCAGGTAACGTATGTAGATTTGAGTTCTACATATATTGCGGTAAATTCAAGTGTTAAAACCATTTCCCCAACCTTGACGCAAAATTAACATGGATCAGCAAGGAACCGCTTTTCCTCAAAAATAGATTGCCCAATTGATAGATGCTCACACGGCTGGAGTCACCTGTTGGCCATGAAGCAAGATCGGGTAAGGCTGTGGGGAACTTCAGATGTTGATTCCATTTTTGTGGTATGACAGGACCCTGGTTTTGACCCGTACTGGCGATATCATGCTATATCGGCTATATCCGTAATTTGCGAGTTTTACAATGTGGTGGTCCATCCTTATTTTTTGATCCCTAGCCGCTAGCCCTACCCACATTTCTTCCCAACTTGAATGAAGGTTAAGTTGGATTTGGGCTCTAGTAATCCAATCCAGGTGGAAATGCCCCTCCCTTTGTCATGTTGTTCCCTATGCCTCCATTCCCCCCCCAGTCCAGCGCCAGGAGATCAATGGAGCCCTTTCTTTATGGAACCAAAAGGCACGGCCACACAGACATGTGGGCGGAGGGTGGAACTCCTTGCAAGTGCAAGTGAAAACTTGAATCACCAGATATATACATGTATGTCAATGTATGTTATATATTAATATATATATATATGTTTGCAAGTTGTTCATGCGGAAGTTTTGGGCAAAAAGTCAAGTATTTGTGTATATCTAACACTCAAATATCCAACTATCTAACTGTCCAACAATGTACGTATCTATCGATATCTATCGATCTATCTTTTTATTCATCCATCCATCGGGTTCAGACGGGTGTTCAACCAGTGCCGACGGATTGGTGTCCAAACGGGTGAGATGATTGGACACGAACAGATGGCTTTCTAGGCCGGTATGGGTCAATTTATTGGGTACCCAAATAACTTGGGTATAATTACGGTATAATAGTAAGTAGTGATATATATATATATTGTTAGATGATTATATAATAAATTATATATAATACTAACAATACGCACAGACCCCGTGGTTTGCCCGGACTGCAACATTGAGGATTCCCTGTCGTCGAACATGAGAAGAGAAATTGCAGAAAATACTTACAGTATACGCAATGTTTTCTGCTTTCGGATTCAGAGTTTTCAGAGTTTAGGGTTTTAGGGTTTACGGTTCGTCGTCTGGAAAATACCAAAACACTCGCCCTGCGCAGGTTTTTGAGCATGTCGAAGGATCATATTTGAATTCCATTCTAACCTTGCGGGCAAACCATAGTATGTCTTGCCGTAACAATAGGATAAAATCTCTGGTGAACTAACATAGCAATGGAAACTGGCCATAGAAATAGTGGATTTTCCCATGAAAAAAATGGTGGATCTTTCCATTGCTATGTAAACGTTCACCAGAGGGTAAAATCTCTGGAATGGGTCTTAACATCTTGACCCATACATCTGTAAGAGAAACACCCCAGAAGCTTCCCATGAAGTCCACCTAGGGACATGAGTGATATTTCACGAAATTCGCTGTAATGGGGATGGGTCAAAACCCTGGCACCTAGTGAACCCCAAGTCATAGCTGGGATTTATGGATGTTCATCCCACTAAAAATGGTATGTATAGGTATTGATCCATAGCCATATTACACCCATTCAAAGCAGATCGAGTTCCGGCACATCTTAGTTCAAACCCGAACCTCGTGGATTCAAAACTGCACCTTCTATTCAGTATGGGGTAATCTACATTGGACAATGTCCCTCTTGGATCTATAATCAATCGTTGAAAAGATCGCTCCCCTAGCATACTTCACCAAAAGGTGGCATTCATCAAACACTGACAGCTCCCGAATCCCATGGTTTATCACAATGGTCCACCTTTGACATGGCCACCGTTTCGATCCGTTTCTCTTCGGAGACCCATCCAATCATCATAGATCCGACCCGGATGCGAGCACTGATTTTTTTGGCATCTTTTTGCCCAAGCGCCAGCGGAAAATAGCCGCGTTGCCTCACGGAAAGTGAACCAATCCATGGCCATTCTTATACTGCCCTTGATGCCACTGAGCATGTGGGATTTCTGATGATTTCTGATATCGGTGATATCGGTAAGCGGAAAAAGTTGACCTTTTATATAAAGGAGATCGTTGACATTGGCAGATTCTGGCGAAGTGGCTGGTGCCAACCCGTCAAGGGGATATCCCGAAGATCATTGGATCCTTTCACCATGGTTGCAACCCAACAATTACCCTCTGGTTATGACTAACATAGCCATGGTATAGATGGCCCATTTATAGATGGTTTACCTATTAAAAATGGTGATGTTCCATGGCTATGTTAAATAACCAGATGGTATATAGTATGATTCATTGATGGCATCCTCATCCGCGGACGAGTAATTTCTGTATCCGTATCCTAACTTGATCCTGTGCAGCCTAGTAAGACAGCCCCTCTGCCTTTTGGTGGTTTCTGCCTGCGTTTCCGATTAGGATGAGTCGACTATAACTGGATAACACTGGAAACCATACTGTAGATCCGTAGTTTATCATGTGGTGTCTATTTTAGACCCCAAACATCCTCAACCAATGTTTTTCTACGTTTTTCTCGGACACCGTTGGATGTAACATGGTTTTGCCTCATCACGTGATGTGATTGAAACATCCCATTTTGCAAACGGTGAATATCCGCTGCACCGTCATTTGGGCATATCACTTCTTAGAAATTCAAAAACAATTTGCGGTTCTCAACTACGATAGGCTCTGAGAATCGTCCAAAATTAGAGGTAGTCGCCCCAAAAATTAACAGGGTCGGTTGGCTGGCTGAGGGAAGGTGAACATCTCCTTCGTCTATGCCATGTTTGTGAGTTTCTATTCCATCACATCCCATGGTATCATCATTTTGATTATTGATTTCCCATACTTGGTCCTGAGTAAATTCAACCAACAGCCGACTCAATATTTGTGTACCAGTTAAGTCATTTTTATGTTTGTTTAATTCACCACTTTGCTGTTTGAATCATCTTAAATCCAGATTTCTCCTGACATCCGCCATGTTTGAAAACCCTGAAACCGAAACCTTAACGGCGGACGCCACTCGCCGCGCCACGGTCGCGGGATCTGGCACGAAGTGCACGAAGTCCGTTGGACCATTTGTTCCCATTAATGAATAGATGATAGATGTACCAACCAACTTAATAGGATCCATAAACTCTATTTATAACATATGTAATAGATGAACCATCCATAATAGATGTAATAGATGTACCATTAATAGATGATAGTAGATGAAACATCCATAAACTTGTTTAACATATTAGAGTTATGTTCACCAGCTTAAGTCGAACGGGGACACCATATTGTACGTACATTGATTTAATTATTCTTCGAATACATACACATATATAAAATAATATGAACATAAGAATAAAATGCAATATTATAAAATGTCACATAATTAAAAATATCATACACTACAATATGAATATATATATATAATATATGATTATATATGGGTAAAGTCCACTTTTTTTATCCTTTTTGCCGTGTTTCTCCAGCCTTTGACACGGCGCCAGATGCCAGGCCTTCCACGGCGAGGCCCAGCAGTTTTGGCCTCTTTGGCCTTCTTGGCCGCTGAGGCCTTCTTGACCTCGGCGAAAAAAAAAGGTCGGGAGTTGACCCGGTGGTTTTAAATCCCCCTATGGATAGATCTATTGGTTTATAAAATCTTGGTGATTATATAATCCAATATTAATCCCCGTAAAAAAAAATCCAATATAAATCCCCCAGTGGTTATAAATCCCCTATTGGATTATATTGGTTTGTCTGAAAATCTTGGGAAAAACAAAAACAAAAAATGATGGTCAAGGATGATTTGTTCCTGTATGTTCCTGTTAAAACTGCCATAAAATGAGGTGTACCACATTTTCAGACAGACCCATATGTTCTACCCTTAAAATACTGCATGAACCCAAGTGAACCTACTCAACTCATAAACCAGCAAACAGGGGCACCAGCTTGATCCAGCTTGTTGTTATGCTTCGAGGTTGTCACAACACAGCAATGAATAGTGATCCATATTGATCCTAAACATTGATACGGGTCATGGGTTACCATGGTTTACCCACAAAATATGATCCAACAATATCCAACGTATCCATGTGAAATTGGGGAACGTGATTGTAAACCAGCGAAGAGAAAGGATGATTCGTGGCAGGATAGCCTGTTTTCAGACACTGGATGAACATCTTAGAACTAACATAAGGAGACCTACGTTGGCCCATTGCTTCCATTGTGAACTTCTCAAATGGTGGGCCAACGTAATGGCAAAAAGGGTGCATTCCGCTGCATTCAGCGTGTCACCAACCAGACTTGGATGCCTAGTTGTTGGACTTCATCTCCAACCGTCATAAAGGTACATACTAAACATACTGGTTGGTGGTATACCTGCCCCTCTGAAAAAAAAAATAGTCAGTTGGGATGATTCTTCCCAATATATGGAAAAATAATATTTATTCATCGATTATTGGTGTTGTCCCTATTTTTAGTTGCTGCAAGTTCCCCAAAGTTTACTATACGCAATCCTCATAATATGGACTGGATTAACATTGGAGTATGTAGTTATCGATTCTCCGTAATTATTAACATTACATAAAATTGCCATAAAACCACACCCGAAGCCCGAAGCCATTGATTCATTGGTTGAATGTGCTTAAACATGTTTACGTCTTTCATGGTAAGACCACATGTGTTCATGATTTTTGTTGGTAAGTTTATATAATCATCATGTCAAACATGTTTTTCATAGAAAACAGTTTGCCATTGACATCTGAACTCCGAGGCCCCAACCGCCTTGGGTTTGTAGGTGCCGGCGCAAACACCAATGGTCAAGCCGCATTCATCCCGCTGCACGCGGACCAATCTGGCGCGGTTGGAAAAGTTGGGAAGTACTATGGTGGAAGTGTCATGAACTTTGACTCCGTAATCAATGGTACTTTATTTCAAAAAATCTGCCTTTTTGGTCCTTTTAGTGCCCTTGTGCACAGGGAGAAGACAACAAAACAAGTTGGGAAAAACCGGAACTTCACTTTTGTGCGCTGTCCCACCACTGCCTAAAAACAACGAAAGAGAGCATTGTCGGGGTTGAAGCGCCAAACATGTGGGTTGATGAACTGCCGATTTCTGGGATTGGTTGGTGGTTGGCTGAACCCAAGTGAGATGGACGTAAAAACTGCTTCACCAGCCACCCACACACCGAAGATGGGTAAATCTGTTTATAACTTCAATTCCCTTCAATTCCTGGCCTTTAAAAGATATATATGTATGTATATATAATTATATATATATGTACCATCTGGTTATTTAACATAGCCATGGAAAATGGCCCATTTATAGATGGTTTACCTGTGTTTACCTATTAAACATGGTGATTGTCCATAGCTATGTTAGTTTACCAGAGGGTATACACTCAATTACACTCAAACTTCAACTACTGGGATTTATCAGAGGTATTGTCATGATAATTATATGGCTATGGGTCAAAACCCTGGTACCCCTGGTGAACATCAAAATAGCTGGTAAATGGATGTTCATCCCAAGTGGAGCACCACCTTGCAGCTTCCCGTGCCTCAGTTTTCCCTGCTGCAGGACTTGAGCCATTTCCTCAGCTTCACCAGTTCATTGATTCTGATTGATTCTGATCATCACCAATTTTTCAAGGCTAACCATGATCCCATTGATCCCAATTAAATCCCATTAATCCCAACCATAAATGGAGGTATTAATGGGAAAATCATCTATTTCTATGGGCCATGGCTTCCATGGCTATGTTAGTCATAACCAGAGGGTAAATCCCAATTAAATCCCAATTAAATCCCAATTAAATCCCAATTAGATCCCATTCGATCCCATTAAATCCCATTAAGTCCCATGGATCTTCCCCAAGATCCGGCTCTTTGAAGCAGCTGGCTCCGTCCCCTCCGTCCGGTTGGTCCCCCAACATCCTTCTCCGGGTCTGGAGGAAGATCTCCAGACTCCTCCATCTCCTCGAACGCGGGCCGAACGCGGGACGTGACCGTTGACCCCAAAACGATGGCCAGTTGACAAGACGGGATGGAAAACATCCATGGGATGATAGGGATATGATGTTTTAGGATGGTTTATTTAATAAGTTTATTTTATGTTTTATGATGTTTTATGATAAAAAATGCTGCTTCAACTTGCGCATCCCGGAACTGCTGATAGGATTTTCTGGGGGGCCATCCCTGCACATGGTTTGGATTGGAAGACGAATCATGTCCAATCCCTTCCCGATAGTCAACAGCCCTACAGGTCTAGTGACTAGCAGTGGACAGAGAACGTTCTATGGTCAGATGGCTTTGGACCTGAAAATAGGGTGAAAGTACTTTTTATGGATTACCATCCATTTCCTTATTAAACTGATTCAAAATGGCTATTTGTGGGTTTGTGTATAGTATTCCCTATTTTCAAGTTGTTCAAACAATTTCTAAAGTTGCTATAACATCAAATGGATTACCTTCAATTTCCGTATTAAAATGGCTATTTGTGTATAGTATCCCCTATTTTCAAACAGTTTGTCAAACAATATTTAAAATGGCTATTGTTTGGGATATCGCTATTTTCATAGTATCCCCTATTGTCAAACCATGTGTTCTTGCTGTCCAACCATTTCAAGACTTACTTACCCTACGCGACTACGCGACATAGTGGTACGAAGCCTGGCTTGCAGGTCATCATCTGTGCTCTGAAAAAAAACGTCGGGGACGCAGAGCTACCTTATCCACATGTTATACCCTCTGGTTATTTAACATCGCCATGGAAAATGGCCCATAGAAATAGATGGTTTACTTATTAATAGCATTGTGATTTTCCATGGCAAACATAACCAGATGGTATATCTGAAAAAAATGATGGTTTACCTCTCTGTTATCTAAGAATCTGAATCTCTGAATCCATTTGTTTCAAGGTTTTTGAAGACCAATAAATGACAAACTTGGCTGGGCCGAATCTCACCTTGCCACCTTTTTCGCCTCACATTTTGTCCCAAGAACAACAAAAAGGGACAAGAAATATACTTCGGAAAAAACTATAGTAATCCCGTACATTACTCCCCCAATAGAAAAGTCAACTCCCACTAAAATATGGTGATTGATCATTATATGCTCAACACTTTTTCGCTGGTTGCCCAGTGGTTTGTGATGCTTTTCCCGGTAGGACTTCCTCAAATCAACCGATCAACCCCTGCACCTTCCAATTCTGCGCTTCCATCACCTCCTCACATCAACCATCAACCGTTGGGGGTGGCTGGGAATGCAACCAGCAACGGCATACAACCCGCTAAGGGGGAAGGTATCATATATTATATACTCAGGTATCTGGGTAAATTACAATATGTATCAATATGTCACCAAACTGAATTAAGGCCACTTGGGGATTATTCCCCAAGCAAAATTCCAGTGAGGTCACAGTGAGGTCACTATAGTTTACCCAGATATGCGATGTTCAATGATGTCGTACCAATGGACACTAGGGATATGACAGAATTGTTCGTAATACAACCTGGCAGCGGGAGTCAGTTATAGCTACAGTAACAAGAGTTGTTTCAGGCACCCCTCCAATCTCACTCGCTTGTGGTGGGCGCCTTCTCAAGTAAGCTTGGTGCTGACTCTGGCATCAGGCAAACCCAATGAATCATGCAATCGAAATCAAAACTCCAAAAATGATGACAATCCCATGAAATTGGGGATTTCCATGTTCAGACAAACCCAATCAAAAGCTGTGAAATATGCGAGGTATAGGCGTTCCGGGAATCTGAACAAAACCCACGAGTTATGTTGGTGTTTTTTTTAGTATGCAGCTATCCAAACACGGAGGTCCCAAAACTCAAATCAACCGGAGGCTTGGCGGTCCTCCAATTTTCCCCCAATGACCTGTTCATCCTCCTCGTTGCAAACCAAGAGGACACGACCTTGGGGAAACAGCCCAGCCACAACGGTCACCGCTTAAATTTCTCGGCGCTGCCGTAAGGCTGACCAAAAGATATGGAGCAGTGAAATCCACATATCATACCCATGACGGATCCATGGTGCTGGTATATTAATGCTAATATTATTTGGGGGTATATTGATGGGATCCATGGAGCACCATTAATATAGCAGCACCAGTCGGATCCGTCATGGGATACATATCATTGTGATAAATTGAACATAATTGAACCTTGTCTATCTGTTTGGGTTTTGGGGTATTTCTACTGTATAACATACTATCGAGGTCCCCCATGCCATGGACCTCCCAGAATCTCAGCTCCCAGCCATCCCGAGTCAAAGCCTCAACGTGGCCATCTGGGGAGGGAATCAACCATGCTATGGAGCCAGTGTGGGTCAAACAATGCCATAAACGCACCATCCGCCCAGTCATCATTTTTATAGGTGATATATGTAAACCATTCCCAGAAATGGGTGGTTTATGACCTTGGAAAAAAAACACATTACTGTACTGTTATTGATGCACTTTCAAAATCGTCACGTAGCGTTTTCGAAGTCCCCATTAGTCCAATGACATCGGATGATGTATTTTTTTTGTCATGAAAGAAAGAGTAGTGGGACACTATTGTGTAATGTGTATATATATATATATGGTACCCCCAAAAAAAAAGTCTACCGTTTTAAGGTTCATTTACTTGGTCTGGGGGTGCCATACATGACCAAGTAAATGAACCTTAAAACGCTAGACTTTTTTTGGGAGTTACCATATATATACAAATATATATATGTATATTTATATATACCCTAGGGCTCCAACCACCATTCAAACAAAGGGCGTTAGTAGAACCACCTTTGTTCGTTTTGGGGTCCAGCCCCCTCCCAGAGGTCTGACATTTTTGATTCCCATGCTTGCTCGGTCATCCACGCTTCTGGCTTAATCTGGTAGCCACATACTGGTTGAACCTAAGATCACCAAGAATTGCGACAAGTTAAAAGATAGTAACACCACGATCGAGAGAATGTGTTTTAGCATGTTTCAACTACAAAACGTTTTCAAGTCAGCCTGGGCAAACTCAAGTGATGGCACCACAACATATATGTGACTCAGGCTTGTTGCCAAGTGACTTCTTGATTTTCAGGTGTGACGACCAGATCCTGCATATATTTCGGTCTGCTAGTCACCCAAGGCATGAAACACACAAAGCAGGTGGTGAACCAGTTTCTCAAATCAGTACTAGTACTGCAGTTGTTTCAAAATAGTTTGCAAATCCACCAGCCTTAAACGCCCACATCGCATGATCCATTGGATTGCGTTTTTTGGATGCGCTCGCAAATAGCAGCCTCAGATCTTGAGTGTACTAGATCACAGCGCCGGTCTATACTATTTTGTAATATAAGTGGTTGGAGCCCCAGGTATATAACGTTCACAACTTGTACTAGTCAGAGTTTTATGCGAGTGAATGACGAAAAACAAAAAATATCTTATAAGATTAAGATATGATCTTTCCATGGTATATCACATCAATCGATCAACATGATGATCTATCAAATTGAATTCCATGCATATAAAACAATCAGACTCACACCGTGCATACAATTTGCACAAACTTCTGAGAGTTATAGAACAGCGTTACAGCTATCGATAGATATCGAAATTAGATCATGCATATAGATCGATTAGGGCAAGCCGCTTTTTATCCAAGCCATGCCATCCTCGTCCACAAATCCATGGAAGTGACGTGGGTTGCTTCCTCAGCTGCATTCGGTCTGGCCATGGTGGTCCAGGAAAAGGGTAAATTACTGTATAATACTGTAATACAGTACCACTAGCTATAATACGCCCTGTGTTTGAATGGTGGTTGGAGCCCTAGGGTTTGTATGAATTATATCGTAAGATTTCTGCATATTGTCAACCATTTTTTTGTCCAGGCTCGTTTGTCCCGGGCACAGACCAGGATATGCCAAAAGGCCTAAGTACCAAAATCATAGATCCACGTGAGTTGGAATTGGAACCGACAGATCCGAAAATCTCAGCTTTGGTGGAATTGGAAAGCAAATCAAAATTCAACAAACTAGCCGCGTGATCAATCCAGGCAAATTTCACTGGTATGCTGACCATTGAATAGTCCATCTATTTGCAAGCCAGGAGGCATGACATTTTGGTTTCAGAAACCACTCCTGGATTCCCAACCTGGCTGTTTGAAACTTTTGGGAGTTGCCCTTTGAGAACACATCATCCAGCCTCAAAGACATTCCAGTCAAGCTCTTGTACAGCTTCAAGAAAGCGTAGCCTTCTTCAAAGATCTCTTTGGATTCGTTGGCAGTCCTGACACATGTTATATGTGACCCCAATAGAGTGATCATTTGTTTTATTTTTGAGCAGCATCAGTGTTGTCACGCACGCAATAACTATGACTATCGTACTTGTTTGCAATAGCTCTAGGCTAGGCTTAAGTAATGTATCAATCACCAAAATCATGCTGAGCTTCAAATACCGGCCAGCTCGCTCGACTTTGCCTAGGAATCGTGCAATGCGTTTCCTCGGCAGGAGGGGATGGCCAAACCCATTGTGTGGGAAAGGTGTGACAGGCTTTTACACCTCGAAATAACACAGCTTTCCAAGGTGGTTGTCCAGATCATTATTTACCATACAGTACTCACTTATGGCATATGTCCCATCATACTTCAAAAAAACACAGCCTCCAGCATATATCGGTTTATCAGTTCCAGTATCAAAGCAGCAGCAATGGTATGAAATCGTCGATCGCACTCAGCAAACTCGGGGATGTTGCAAGCAGTGTAGACTTCATGGGAGAGCCATTCCAGGATGACTCGGCCATTGTAGGCTTTCGCTGTGAAGAGGATTTCAGTGGTGAAGGTCTTGAACAACTTAGTTCGAGGAAGCGATGAGGAACATTTGCTAGCTGGTCTGATTCAGATCAAGATGAATGCCGTCAGGCAAGGAAATATGTCACATGTCTTGACCCTTTGGGCCTTAAAACTATCCCATGGTTGTACAGGGTCAGTGGCCCTTTGGGGACCCCAAACCCATCACGCTTTGCCATTCAACCAAGTCTCCATCTTCTCTGCAAACGGCGGTTGAGAACAATGAATGTGGTTCTCAGCAGTCCAGGCTCTGAACCTCTGGTATGCCCTCGACATTTTGATGGTCATCGACACATCGTCAGTTCCAAAATAGCCACATTGCAGCAGCAAGTTCCTGGACAGGCCCCACAGATTAAGTTGATTAGTACACAACATTCTAGGCCACAACCTTGAATCTAATGCAGCCGACAACAGCACCTATCACTGAAAAAACATATCAAAACTGTGCACATGGGGTTCAATCCAGTGTCATCCCACTGCCGTTCACGACGTACAGTAACCCCAAGTTCAGAACGTGCATTAAGCACCAGCGAATCTGCATTGGATGGAAATTTGACAATCCAACGAAGGGACCTGGAGCCAACAGGGAACCAAAAAGGGGAAAGCAATGCATGGATCATGGAAAAACTTGTCATTGGAGGATCAATTGGCAATGCCCAACACCAATCAAAAACATATCAGATTAGTTAAACATATTTGCAAATTCTGATGAGAATCATATGCCAGTGGGTGGAATCCTTTCTTCCAGAAATTCACCTGCAGAGAAGTTGTTGCCATTCCAAGAGCCCCCCTCGAACTTCCAATACAAATCCGCCGGATCGGAAGAGGATGACAAAGCCCTGCACCAGTGGCAAATTTTTATGCCTGTCCATGAGCATTTCCAAAACCTGAACACCTTCTTGTGCCAAGCCCAGTCTCCACGTATTTCCGTCACAACACCCTTGTATTTGAAGGCTTTGCCAGCGATCTGGGCCATTCTGTAGGGTAGAGCCTCTCCATAGGGGTCGGTTTGAGGGTGTCTTCCAGCCATCAGCGCATTGAGAGACCATGTGACCCACCGCAAGATCACAGTCAAAGTGAAATGTTTCCAAGTCTTGTGCTCCGGTATCACCGTGACCAGGAACCTGCTAGCACGAACGGATTGCGGCTTCCAGAGCACAATGTTGAAATATATGCCGATGAGATTTGTGACACCAAACTTTGTTTGCACTTTGGCACTATCGCCATAGATGCCTAATGGCATGGCTGTTGGGTCCACTCCAACTGCCCAGGGTTCCCCATGACGGGCATTGAATTCCCAGTATTCACGCCGAAAAGCTTCTGGTACTTCCAGACCACCATGTTCAAAAAGAAAGTCAGCTATGGCATGCGGCATCATCATTGGCCAGTCTTCGAGGATGAACTTCTCCTTCCCAGTGGCAAGATCAGTAAACTTTGTGGGAAGCTTGATGCTTTCGATTACCTTGATTGATTGCCAAAGGACGGAAAAAAACACCCAGCCTATATGATAAATTTGTTTAGAAGACCATAATTATAATATATAATCTGCTCTAATATAATATATATTTATATAAATATTATATTATAATATATTATTTGTATCATGATTATTTTTAGATTTATGGTATACACTGTTCATAGCTCAGGAAACATGCATGCCAGCATGTGTAATAAGGTATTAAAGGATGTTGTAGTATGACAATACCTATTGTTATTATATACTGTATCCTTTCGAACTGGACAACCACAAAAAATGTTTGGGTTATATGAGCTCAGGGACTGGCCCACGGTTGAGGGTTCGCCACCAATCCCGTGAGTTGTTCTTGCCACACATTCCACCCAACCGCTTTGTCAATCCGTGGCTGATATTGTTCTTGCAATCCTGCAATGCACCCAGGCTGTAACCATGATCCCCCAAAAAAACATACTGTTTTGTACCACCCTTACAAAACAAGCCCTTCTTCTTATGTTGTTTACATTTTGACTGGCAGGACCCTGTTTGTTTTGGAAAGGATGGTAAATAAATTCATTTGTAAGCGACCACCACTCTTGATCAGGGCTCGCATGAAATCTCAAGACTGGCTTCATAATGACCAGATTGAATGTGCAATGCAATATTTTGAATAGCATTTGTTATTAAAACAGTACTGGCCAATTGGTGGTGTACACATTCAATGATAACACAACCTGAAACCCTCACCATCTAAACCATTCTAAACCAGTAAGTGGTATTGATATGTATCGAGAATCATTTTGTGGGGCAGTTATCTTCAATTGTAGCCTGTTATATTCATGAATTCATGATGTTCTGTTCAGGATCTGAATTCATGATCTGGCAGAACAGAACATCATGACATGAATTTGTCTTGATCTGGACAAGGAGCCTGCGAGTGGGCTTTGAGGGCGCGCATTTCCTTGCCCACAGTCGATCCCTCAGTGTTGTGACACGACGGTGGAACCAGATTATCGTACTTTTTAATCTCTAGGCCATGAAAGTATATTATAAACATTCAATAACATTCATCGTACTGTATTGTTATAATACTTCATGCATGGGTGTTGGAAAATTTGCGTAGTTACTGGGCAATATAGACAACAAGGATGACGTGTGCACAAGTATGTCCATTACAAGTACTAGCTAGTATTGCATTGATTATTACTATAATCGTCATGACAAAATTTATAATATAAGGGCCGGTCAAAATGAATCAGAAAAATAGTTTATGTCCTGTTTCAATCACTATTGCCGTTGGAATTATGAAAGCCCTGAACCATAGTAACAGAAGGGAACATAGAAACCGTCATAATTTTAGGGTATCCATCTTTCTTCCCAAATTTAATTTATCCAGGGGGCACCACCACTGACTTCATCGACTGCACGTGCCAGTGATGCAGACATCTCTTCACATTCTGCACCAATTGCATCACCTGCGTGGATGGCGTTTGTTTTCCCACAATTGTTCAGTTCAGGTACTTGTTTCTTACCTATGGAAAGTCCATGCTACGCTAGCAATATTTTCCCAACGCATCTAGTCTCACAAGATGTGGTTTATATCGCATGTGTGGCTTTGCGACATTCCACCAACAAATCATTTCTGACCACAGATCGGTCATGATCTAAGATACGCAGTGTTCATCACTGCCAGTCGGTAAAAGTCCAATTACCATCCTGTAAGCTGCAACAAGGCTTCACTTGTATGCTTGACCCCCCTGGAGGTTTGGATAAACCAATCCGAAAAAATATCATGATAATTTGTTGTGTGATGTTCTTGACTTTGATTACTGAACAAGAAACAAAACAATTCATGGATTTTACATAGCCAACTGAAAAACTAGCTTCTACCAAACCTCCAACAACTGCAAACCTAAACAGGCGAAGCGAACAGATGCAGGCTTGTGCAGGATATAAGCGGCTACTTAAGATTTGCTCTGGTCAAAAAGTCTTTGAAATCAGACTCCAATTGGTCGCCATCGCTGGTCAGATCCGGCAGGTCCTCAACCTAGGTGCACAGATATTGATACTATCATGAATTATTACACTATAACATAAGTTCATGAATAATGAATGAACGATATTCATAAATCAATTTTACTCTTTTTGGGACGGGGTACAATATTTCTGTAATCAATTGAGGAATGTGTGAAACATGATCTTTCATATCATGTTGGACTATGACAAATAACAGCTCAATTGCAAATGCATTGAAGTAACATCAAGGGAATCGATCTTCCTTTGCAAGTCATCCCTGGCCCTGATCAATCGGTTCCGGAATCTCTGTAGCTCACCCTCGATCGCGTGGCGCAACATCTGAGGCCTCAAGAAGGCAGCATTGCTGCGGGATCTCAGAGAAAGCTTGGCTGGAACCTCCCAAAAGTATTATAACAATCACAACTCCTGGGGGGTAATGAGTGATAAAATTACTTTGCACTAGGTAGCTACATCTCAGAATGTGGGTTCAATGTAAAATTCATTGGCATAAACATCCTGTTTTGTAATGATCATTACTGGTGATAGACATATAGCCAACACTGCATTAGTCTAATCACTGCAGGTTCCAACATTAAAACCACCAGGTATGTTCAATGCCGTTCCAACATTCTGCCAAAAAGGCTCTACAAAAAAACGATCATGGGTAAAGCAACAGGCACCGTTGTCATTTTTGAATGTGGTTATGCACTACTGCATTTGCCTGGCCAAACGTGATAAAAAGATACCTGTATTCCATATTAAAAAGGTATGGGCTAAAGGCTTGAGCTAAATGATATATTATATAATATATATTATATTATATATTTTTGTAAAGTGGGTACCATCTTGCTTAGGTATCCCTGGTTCACAAATGATAGTCTGTTCAATTTGATGGAACGTTCAGTGTGCAATTTGGATACAACAAAGAGTTGCAGTATTATACTGATGAGATATATACACATGATGGAATCAATAAGTGATAAAGGTTCCTGGTTAGTTGTATGATATGCCACACTTTTTATTTGGTTCTTAGTTGCTCTGCCAAAATGCAACCTCGATCCCCAGGTGCCAGACATTGCACTGACTACCTTCTCTTTCTTGCAGGCATGGGTGACTTTGTCGTTGATCTTGTGTAAGGTCTGCGAGCTGGTATAGTAGAAGAATACCCCTCAAGCTTATCCGTTGAATGTGATACGGCGACTGTGTTCCTTACATTCCAAGCCGAACTATTTGAACCAATCTCAAAACAACCAGTTTGCCGAAAGTCCAGTTAAATTCACATGGGGCCCTACACAATCAGATGATATAATTTATTATATGTTGATTATGAACATGATTTGGAGTTGGAGCAATTGGGTTTCACACAGCATTGGGAATCTACAAACATCGCAAAATATACATGATTGCATCTAATCCAAACAAGCCTTTTTCGCTTTCGAAATCACTTCCTTCTCAGCCTTTTCCTTCTCACGCTGGTCCTCCTTGACACGTTTTGCTTGCTCTCTGGCAATGCGTTTCTCCTTCTGTTCCTTTGTCTCCTTCTTAGCTGCTTTTTTTCCTTTGCTCTTCTTCTTCTTTTTCTTGCCATCCTGGATGTTTTGTGAAAGGCCCACAATAATCCAAAGGGGTTAATCAAGTGGCTGGCTAGACAACGGCTATTTTCTGATACTTGGCAATGCCTTATCTCAGTATGAAATGCAATTGGGAATCCAAAAATGCATGTATGGAGAACATGTTGGAATTATTTTGATTTCACATGCATGCATGTGGCCGTTGAAGCTGGTACCTCAATCCCAGAACATCCGACTCAGTTTTGCCTCACTCTCGGAGCGTGCAGATGACACTGTCTCTGGTGAGCTTCGACTGCTGGACTTGCGCTTCTTCTTCTTGTCGTCTTTCCTCCTTTTCCGGCCTCTGGACTCTTCACTATCAGAATCATCCCTGTCTGCAGCCTGGAACATCTCCTCCAACTCTTTGTCTTCTGTCTCACTGACACCTTCGCTGTCCCAAATCAGGTATTGCCGCAGCTCCTGACAGTTGGAGCAGGTGCGATTCCTGGTGACTGAACTGTGGGATGTAGAACTCGGTTTTATGACCTTAATTAAGATAGGCCATGACACATCTATGTCGTATTTTTTGGCAGGGCAAAGTTCTATTTCAATAGGACCACGGAGTGGGTGAGATATTAGCTTCCATTCATGAATCTTTTGATCACCAGCTAGATAGATCATACAGATTGCAAACACAATAAATTTAATATAATATACTATAACAGCCAGCGCAGAGATTGATAAAAACATATAAAAACTGTTCGTGTTGATGTCGCCATGCATGATCTAGCTATCACAACTACCAGTAGTGAGGTGTCCAGCCTCACTGGCCGGAGCATCGGGGTGGTTCTTGACTTGGGTTTCCCGTGTCAATGGGTCACCCATCTTGTTGTCGATGATCTGTTGTGCCAAGTGATCTGATCCAAACTTTTGCACCAACTGGTGCTTGGTATACCAGATACGGGCCCCATGTGTACGCTCCCGCTTCTTGATTGTCATTCTGACATACAACTGGGATTTTGACCAGTCCCCACCGCTCGTCAGCCACTCATCCATCAGGATTTGAAGCTTTCCAGAACCTTGGCAAGGTGCGCCCCACCATGATGAACTACATTGTTTAATTATTAATATAATGATATCAAAGATAATAAGAATGATGCCTTTAATCTCTGGAAGTGAACTTCATTTGACGACTCATGCTTCGGTTATTGTTTATGGATGGTGAACCAAATATTTTAATTAGGCAATATCAAGCACATGCATTAGCTTGGGATGAGTCCCGATTATGTTGTTTTCACAGACCTGGTGTGGGTATGTGAGATGTTCAATCCAGGTGAGCGATCTAGATCATATCTTATTTGTTTCCCAACAGATTTCCGAAATCATATAACCAAAAAAATATTATATTATAATGATATAATTGTTATATTATAATATTAAATAAAATAGATTATATTATTAATATATAATAATTATTAATTATAATTGAGTTTGGATCCCTTAGTTGGAGGGGCTAAGCACTTGTAAACAACCAAGTGGCAGTACTTTGCATCCTTGTGAGCCTTCTGAATCTCCGGTGGAGAGTGATCTCAGCACGGTGGGCAGCATGTGTCGATAAATCGATCTACCATGTAAATGGCCATGGCAGTTTTTTTTTGATAGCACGTTGTGCACGTAACAATCCGATATTTTTGAGGAACAATGCATGTGACAACATCATTGCATTTGGGCCTGTGTTACTTAATGTTATTCAATTCGTATGATATAGGCATGTTGGATAAATAAACATACTGCCATGGGTGCAGGACGATAAACACACAAGCCACAATCAACCCAAATGGATTTCGGTTCCTAGGATGTTTGCTCACCACCTGGAATCCACAAACAGTAGTTACAATTGAAACAAGAACTATGCAACCTGGCGACTCTGAATGTGCCGGGTGAATCGCATAAAGCGTGCATGACATGCTTTCTCTTCTGCAGTCTTCTCTCTTCGTTTTTTTGGCAGTGCCAGCACGGTTGTCTCGCCAGGTCCTACAGCCGGAGATTGTGGAGTGCCAGTGCCAGGAGTGGTGGGGGTCCCAGAAGCTGAAGGTGGAGCTGCCGGGGTGCTGGTATTTGCTTCGGCTCCAGACGGGGAAGAGTTCTCCGAAGGGGAAGCTGCAGGGGCAGAGGAAGGTCTGGGGCTAGCCAACTGCAGTTGTGTTTCTGGTCGTCTCAGGTTTTCCATGGCAGTTATCTGCTGATTCTGTCTTCTAACTGCACTGGTAGGGACAGGAGTCACAGGCTCTTCCTGCTTTTCTTGTTTGACTTCCACTTTGGAAGGAACTGCCATGGATTTGGCTGCTGTTGCCCTCTTTGGTTCTGTGTTCAGTGGTGCTGTGGCTGCATCAGTCCTGACAGCAGACGTTGGCTCAGCATTTGGCTCTGGTGGGTTTGCAGGTGCTGCCACTAAGGCTGAGGCTGTCTCTGGGGGTGGGTTTGCTTGTGCAGGATCTACAGGTGGGGCAGGTGGGTCTGCAGGTGTGTCTGCAGGTGTGTCTGCAGGTTTGGCAGCAGTGTCTGCAAGTGGGTCTGCAGGTGGGTCAGCAGCTGGGTCTGCAGGTGCGTCGGGTGCTGTAGCAGTACCATGTCCTGGGACAGTAGACACTGTGTCTTTCTTTGCACGCCACCCAGAGCTCTTTTTACCCTTCAAAGTCTTTCGAACGTTCTTGGGCTTTCTCTGATGGCTCTTCTCTTTCTCATTTGACACGAGGTGGCGAGAGTCATATCTATTAAGTCTGGCCGGTGGCGTTTGCAGACCAATGCCATGTGTTTTCCCAAGTTCCACCTCCAAAGAGCCAGCAGGGACAGTGGAGCCAGGGCTTCCCGCTGATCCTGCACAGTAGGGTTTTTACCTTGTGACACCCACAAACAGGATCACAGTAGTGCTACTTGGATGATTGATAATTTCTAACTTTGTGGTAATTCAGGGGTATAAGCTTTTATTTTGGTGCACTGCAGGTTCAGTAGTTTTACACCAATGTTCAACCAATGAGGATGTCAGTCCAGAATGTGCCCCAACCCCAACAATGTCCAAAGCACAGTTGAGAGACGAAAGCTAAACATTCAATATGTTACATTTACCTAGCATCCTACATATGTTATTTAGAGATTGGGTTTATGGCGATTGATACTACAAAATCGATATTGCATTGATCAATTGATAGTTCCAAAAAATAGACACATTGCGAACATAATATATCTACAAGGGTGGTTGTCTGGAGTTCATACTACAAAATATATTACTACTTATATGCTTATTCTTGAAATCAGTTTCCATCACCAAAATCATATATGCACAGTGGAACACAAATTCTGCGCCTTGAGGTGACAACACCCTTTGGCTTTCAGAAGGCGTCGGGGCAACAAGGTCTTGAGTCAACCTTGCCGGGCAGTTTGTGTTAATATAGCTTCCAATGAAGTTATATGTCAAAGTCCTATACTAGTAACCAGAGGCCGATACATGTGCCCACACAATCAACAGTAATATGTTCTTATTTTATCAGGCTTGCAATGTACATGCATGATCTTGGTTCGAAAGGATATAATAGGATAAGAGTTTCACTTTGAAAAAGTCAATCAGCCAGGGTGATCACAGATGAAAGTGAAAATTATATAAAATCGGCATGTAACATTGCTGTACCCCACGGGAGCATCTCCGGAGATAGGGCAACATTAAGCAGCCGTTCCATTACAGAAGCAGCAGAGTTCAGCTCTGCGTGCCTCTGGGCACGCGCAGCTGCAGCTGCCAAAGCCTTTTGCACCACGTCGGTTGACATAGCGCCCACTGGACCAGGATGGCAGTCTACACCAGTCTTGAACAGTAATGCGCCATGTAATGGGAAATCAAGCCCAAATAGGCATTCAAAGCATTTGGCTCCAACAAGTATATCAATCACATGTTTTACCCACAATGCATTTGTTCTGAGATTTCATCAAAAATACACCCAGAATGTCAAAACATCAGTTTTCATTGTAAAATGAGACTCCAATGATTTTCACGACAGAAAACTCCTAAAATGACTTGTTCAAAAAAGTGGATTTTTGGGCTTATGTCGTTCACGCCCTGGGATTGTCGTTCACGGTATAAAATGGGGTTTCACGCATGGTTCACGCAGGTTTCACGCATGTTTCACGCTACCCCTGGCTAGTGAAACCCACATGATACCCGAAGTGCTCTGGTGGACATTTTTTTCACCTTAGTGACGCTTGACTGTGTTTTCATCATAGCACTGACAGATGGTCATATTGCTGGTTGAGGGCTACTTTAATTGAATACAGCGTCTCAGAGCAGGTGCAAAGCATAACCAGTACAAAACCGAATAACAAAAAATGAAGAACCACCACACATACATATGCAGTATCTAATTGTACAACAGTGCATATTGTAAATAACATTGAGTAATGAATTGTAGTGTATATTTTCTTTATTGCCTTCCCCTGCACGACGCTAGATCTATATGCTGCATCCATTGCAAAAATGAATTTCTGTAGGCGCTTTGGAGCAAAAGCCAAAGGATGGCTAGATCGAGGAGACCTAGAATGTCAACTCACAAGCCCTTGCTGAGAAGGGGTGTGTACACACCCGCTGCCAACTCCTTCTTAAGGAAGGCTTGCACTGGTGCCAATTGTGCATGACGCCAGCGGTATGGGGCCTGATGGCCAGACAAGATGGATCCCACCACGGACAAATTGAACAGTTTCAGTGGATCACATGCAATGCCATTTATCAAGAAGGAATTGTTGAAATGTATTCAACAATATTTGATCGATATATACTATATTTTCATTCAAAAAATATTAATATATAAAACATAATCTATAATAATTATAAAATATATTATATTGAAATTATCATTGAACATCCTGACCCAGTGGTTGCCCCATGCAAATGTCTCTGTGGGACATGTCAGATGTCATCACAACAACTTAGGACCGCTCAATGTGCATCGGTATAACCAACAAAAAATATTTGACGAATTGCAGGCCCGAAAAAACAGCACAGAATCAAGAAAGATCCCCATGGTATTGGAACAATCTTTGGTAATACGATAAATCACCTTAAGGCGGGTTTACCATTCAGCCTGGAAAGTCTTGCCAGCGGCAGCATCTGCAGGTTGTGGATCTTCACGGACTGGGACTTGAGCACAAGCCTGAGAAGAATTCGATAAAACATACTGCATTACATGATTGATGCAGTGGGATATATTACAGATCAATATCAGATCTATGGAATCTATCGATATATATTATATTCATCGATCGATATGCCAAAACCGACCTGCCGGGGTTGATCTACAATACTGAAACTGATCTGAAGCTGATATGGAGACATACACCCGTGAGATTTGCAAACATAGCATCATCATATATCATAATTGTGGCTAAACAATTTAATCAAAGAAACCTCCTGGTGAAGTGTGAAGACCTTCTTTGCAAAGGGCTTTGGGTAGGCAGCTGAAGCTTTCATGCCAGGGCCCCCTTGCCTCGGCTCGGGTGTAGCTGCACACACATGTTAACTATACTTATAGCTAAGTGGGTGTGTGTTGATCTAGTCAATTATCAATCAACATATCCGAAATAAGATATTGGCATTTAGTCAATGACAACTTTGCCACATGTATAGCATGATTACGCAGGTGGTATTAGGACAATATTGATTGTGATGAACACAGTCATGGCACACTCTTGTACGACCATGCTTGTCAATTTTCTTGATTACCATGGCTTTTTCACCCTTCTCCTTGTACGCCGCAATTCTCTTCTTGTCCTTCTTCCGCAATTTGCCCTTCAACTTGGATAGCCATGACCTGAAACCCAACGGCCAAGGTCAAAACGTGAGTCATCTGGAGGACTGAAACGCTAAGTGCGGGGCGGTGTTCCAAAAAGTACAGAGGGCTTGTTCGTGTTGGCCCCATAGCGTCCCATTGGACTCAGTGGATCACCATGCATCAAGGTATGGTATGGGCACAGTACATTTTGAACAGTAGCTGACAGTATAATACAGTTGCAGTTGCATATCACAAATTATTCTACTTCCTATTGTGGGTAGTACTAGTGTTGAGGATGAGGACTGCAATGCACTGAAATTGTAATTACACACTGGGTATCCCACAAGGTCACAGTATTCCATGTGGTCGGTCGCAAGACAAGGGCAGCATACTTCATGTAGATCAGGGCTGGCATCAAGGAGCTGCGAGGTTGCTCTGTGATCCAGAAAACACCACGAGCAGCAGCAATCAAACCAAGAAGAATCCATCGTGTGGTTATCCTGGGCTTGTGAACCCAGAGCTGTATTCTGGCATCCATTACATACATTCAGTGGAATTGGAATTATGTTTCAGGATTCTTCCATATAATTCTTCCAACATGATATATTATATATATATAGGATGAAAGTATCCAAAGGTACATTAAATTGTGTAACGAACAAGTACCTAGCATGGGTGTTGTTTTGATAAGCATCATTGCAGAAATCCCATACCCACCCTAATGATATTCAGGATAAGATGCATCATACCGGGATTTGTTCAAATCAAGAGTCATATTGGCATCCCTGACGTATTGACGAGCGGTGTTGCCCAGAACCCTCCAAGATTTCCTGCCACTTGTTGCTCTATTAACCCACACCCAGCTCGCGCAGGGGGGCCCTCCGAAGAGGGCCCCCCCGGGCTTGATTTGCAAAATCATCATCAGGATGTGGACCAGACCTTTCCTGAGCTGAGCACAATTGCCACTTGCATGGATAGATTCCAATGGGTGGAGTGCGGCAAGGGGTAATTTTGTACTACATGATCCATGAAAAGGATAAATTTGTAAATGTGTAAATTATACATCGTCATCGGAACTGGGGTTGATCTTCAATCTAGAAAGATCCAACAATAATTGTGGAGAGCTGGGACACCGCACATATGAAGTATGTTTCCAATGTCACCATCTTCCAGGTCAAAGGACCCCCTGGGCAGAGTGATATATAGCACACCAATGAATGCTGATTTAAATTGATACCATGTAAGCTTTAATTGGCAAACAATTCTGAAAATATCTCAACAGGTTGCCTTTTGGTTGATTACTTTGAAACCACCTGGGAATCAACCCAGTACTGAGGGCAAAACGCTCGGAGTCCGTGGTCACCTAGGACACATGGAAAATACATGCGGTAAACAAATGACCAGTACGTGGACTTTTTAATAATAAATTTGGGATCTGCATCAGTGGGACAAACAACCCTTCCTGGTACTACAAACATTTTTGTACAAGTAATCCTCCCATGGTTTTTCGCTGATCAATTCAAAAGGACCATCATGTTCACACTCTGGGATCCACACGATAGTAGCACGAAAGTTCAGCTTGCCCACAGAACGCGTCCACCAAATCCAGGCACTGGGCGAAGATTTTTATATCAGCTGGATATGCTATCAGACCCTCATGGTTTAAATGGGGGCATGAATTTGAAATGACAGTAATTACCAGGGTCAGCGGGTTACTCTGTTTATTTTGTTTCATCCCTGATCTATATTCTATCTGTTTTCCTGTACAATCTATGAGTTGATGATGTCAAGCTCAGATCGGTATCTAAATTTATAATTTTCAAAATACTCCATAGCTAAGATTCTGGCACGATGGTGTTCCTCAGCAGGAGAATGCTGCACGATGTAGTCCACGAGATGAAACCTGATTCCGTGTGTGCCAACTCACTGACCAGAAATCCATATAATATGATATATGTAAAAAAAACAACATCAGTTAACTAGATGAGAAGTTCATTTTCCTGCTGATTAAGAGAGGCGAGTAACAACACCAAGGGAATCCCCCATAGTAGCAACAGGTTGCTGGCTCTTTTTGAAAGACCAAGGGGAGATGTGGTCCATGAAGGTCTCACACGCGGGGCCATTGCCCCAACCACACAACTCCCGCACGGCCACTAAGGCTTGGAAACTTCTGAGCCAACTGCATGACATCATGGTGCCAGATGGTCCAGGGGTGATCCAGACTTCAGATCGAAGAAACGGTACTGTAATACGTAATTTAACAATTAGTTACTTAGTTTGTTTGACCTCTAGGATACTAGAATTCTCAAGATGCGAATATTGTTTGATAGTAGCCTCATCTCATGCTGTAACAAGTCAAAAACAATTTGCAGCATGCAGTGGAAACTTTTTAGCCAACCATCCTGATCCTGCTGTTCACAATCAGCCAACATCCTAGTGAAATGGGATTCTGGACTGCCGGCTTGTGATGTCAGCCCGAACACGAGCGAAGAGACTTTTCAAGACACGATTATGAACTTTAGTAGCACTAAAGATGTACTGACATCAATCAAGCTAGTTCTATGTCACAGATTGCACACAACTTTCGAAGTTCATGTTAACTTCTCAAAACCCCATGGTGTAATGGTGATCACCTTCCCCAATGACACACTACAAGTTTTGGTTGAACATCACATCAGGTACAATATTTACAAATAATAAGAACATAAAATCGAATCATGAATCCACCTAGAATCATCAGTTTTAATTATATTGAACACCACCACCATCACCATGTCGGGGAGCAGATCATGTCCTAACTGCACCATTGTTTCAAAAATTGGTAGGGGTCACGGGGTCACGACGTCTTTCAGGTCACAAGGATCCATCCACCCAGCCAACATCTTGGCCAGCATCCACCTAAGAGCAAAATAACAGATTTGGGTAAATACTGTACCAGCACGAAATCAGCAAGACCATTTATAAACAAGCAAGAACTCATAGATCAATTAATTCATGAAATTGTCCAA